GTTGTACTGTTTGGCATTTAGAGTTTGGCTAAAAGTAAGACGTATTCAAACAATTCCTCATCCGCGAATCGCTGATGCTATGACTGTGCTCTTTCTCTAGCGCGAAGGAGGAAGACAATTAACATTGATTTACGACTGTTTAATGATCGCTTTCGATTAGTCAAGGCTAACATTTCCGCGTTTTAAGAAAGACTGCCGAAGAATCAGCCATTGTTACTTAACTTTCTTTCGCTGTACCGCATTTTAAGCACATATTTCGGGACACCTTGTATAAAGGCATATAATACATTCTCGCGTGTACTTATACCTAGTGGCTATACGGGGAACGTACCGAGAGTGTCCCGGTCGAGTACGACGCGATTCCACGGCCCTTTATGAAAGAGAGAGAAAGAGAGCGAGCGAGGCAGTACCAACTTTACCGGCCCGTTCCGTGGAAAGAGAAAGAGAGAGACGGGAGTGTGGAGGAAAGGGAAAAGGACAGGCGCTTTTGTTCGACCGCTCCGGACGAAGCGCGAGTCGCTCTTCTCCTCGAAGGAAGCTCTCGACGCTAGAAATGAAGACATTACTGTCCGCAATACTCGTAATACTCCGTCGACTGTTTCCAGTCCGGGAAGAGCGGAGAGTCCGCGAAGAGGCGGCTGTGACGCCTCGCGACGCACCGTCAAATTCGCTGATGGTGCAATTTCCATTGTCACGGTGGAATTTGCACCGCTTAGAATCGACGTTGGCTTACAGCCGTCGCATATCGGGTTCTTGACCTAAGCCTAAGCGCGAGCGAGAGAACGGCAAAATTTCGGCTTCAGAATGCTGACCGCTCGCCGAACAACCGAAATCGGCGAGAATTCGTCATGATAAAAAAATCGATGAAAATGGGAAAAATGACGCTTTATTGCCCTCGAAAAAAAAAAGAAAAAAAAGAAAGAGGAAGAGATAAAGAACGGATAGATATTTATTCGTTTATATTATTGATAGTGATAAATAGACTTAATAAATAATTTTCACTAAAATTATGGAACGATTCTTTCACTAGACAGTTAAGATTTGCAATCACAGATATGTATGTTTCAATTGTAACACGCAACGATTAAGAATAACGTGTTAAATTTGATGCATTGACCATCCGAATAGACACGGGAGCAGCGGGCACCATGTCCGGACTGGATCTTTGCGGATGATGAGAATAACTGACTTCCATGTCGATCTCGTCAGGCTCTTCCTCATCTTCCTCATGGGTATCCGAGTCATCTTCGTCTTCGACCTCGCCTTCCTCCTCCTCCTCTTCTTCCTCCTCTCCCTCCGATACTCTGAACTAGATTTTTCACACAAGCGCGAGAAAAAGTTAGTTTTAATATTGTACATTTGATATCATTAATTTAGTCAGTTTCAATTCTAATCTTTTTTTTTTAGGCGCTTTTCAAATGTCGGATACATCAAATTAAGATATTTATGAATCACGATTTAGGATTGTGCTTAACGGTTTAATATCCTTAGACAATACGCGCAACAGATTAAACATAAGATTAAAAAGAAAAATAGCCAGTTATACATCATACCAATCAATACTACGCACATACTAATTAATAAAAATATACGAAATATTATATATAACATAATAATAAATATAAAATTATAAATCTTTTAAACGCATTCCTTCATGCATAAATATTAATTATATTTAAATTATTAGATTTAAGCGTAATTAAAAAATTACATTTGAAAAAAATTAATAATATCAGATGTACTTCTACACTTTTTGTAATTTTGTTAGGCTAAGTTGAAATTTAAACATCTTCAATTACAATTGCAAATTATATACAGCTTCTGTGGTATTGAAATAATACCGATGATAATATCTGATTTCCGATTGATGGTAAGGAATATCGGAACAACGACAATAATTACATTAAAGGCGAACGAGGCACAATTTGTCAAGATATGATTTTTCTATTAAATTTTGCTATGAAAAATTGATTGTAATTTCTTTATAAACTGTATGATAAATTGAATATATTTTATAATCAATTTGTTCTCATTAAATCTTCTTCATTAGATCTTCTTAAATTAAAATATTTCCTTTCGATTTTATTAATATAGAAGATAATTCGCTGTAAAAATATGCTTACAGACATATATATTTCATAATAAATTCCTCTAAAATTTCTCTAAGTACGATAAATTAGTTTAAAATTTCACATGTGAGAATAAAATACATTAACATATTAGCAAAATATTATGATAATAATGTTATTGATATTTTGACATATATCCGAAATCTGAAGAATCTGAATAACTTTTATAAAACATCTTTATAAATCTTATAACATCTTTATAAATCTTTGTAAAACAATCAAAAATTTTAGTTACTATTTATAATAAGTAAATAAGTTAAATAAGTTTATACTTTATATTATTTTATTTTTTCTTTCATCGTTTATTTGTCAAACAAATAATTTACTTGTGCTACTATAATCACATGAGAATTGTTAAAACTAATCAGAAAAAGAAAAACTTAGCAATAATCTTTTCGTTACGCAACATATTACTTTTGTCTTCTACTTATCATATTGCAGAAAAATTACAAAACACATGCGTCAACAATCAAATCTAAGTTTAATATTTTATGTGTCATACGATAAAAATTTTTGAAAGCTTACATTGATTATAGGATAGTGAAGATTTTGAGTCTCCAGAAATTCTCTATCGTAATCAACAAATTTCAAAAAATTTGTCATATGACACATGAAATACTAACCCCCAAGTCGACTCGCCAGTCGACTCCGATTCGAAATTGAGACGCGAGATTATCAAGAAATCAATATAAAATATGTTATATATTTTTATATTGAAACAAGAAATAAATACACCTGTCATAGGATAAATATTCAAGGCCGAAAGAATTGATGAAAGAATGTATATCGATCGAGCAAAGCATACCGCTGTAAACATACGAATAGGTTAAGTTAAGCTAAGTTACGTTAACTTACGTCGCTTACTGTTTTCCCGATCGGAATGTGCTCGTAGCCCTGCACCCGCACGTGGTCCCTCTGAAATAATCACAGCGAAGATGCACTTAGCAAAAATCTATATCCGAATGTACGTATTCGCACTCACCCAGGCCTGATGTTCCGCTTCGAGAGCGGCGACTTCACTTTCGTCATCGCACGGCCTATCGGCGTTAAACCATAACGGATCGGTTGCTCGTGGCCGCAGATCAGGCCACAACGGTCTGATCGACATCACGAGCAATTGAAAAATATGAAGTAACCGCCAAGAAGCCTCTAACGGATTATCACTTTGATCGTTGTGTTTCGACCGAAACAGAGAGAAACCTGAGAGCAGCCGGCTATCCCGGTCTTTTTCATGAGACAATCAGAGCCCTCTGCTAATTGTGTCAATACCTCCATTTTCCGACACTATCGATAAA